CTCCGAGGGAATTTAGATAATGCAGTTTAATTTATCCTCTCTTTCTCTCCCTCCTTCTCTCTCTCTCTCTCTCTCTCTTGGTATAAAGCCGCTGTTAAAATCTATGGCTATTGTCTAAATTTTCAACATGGTTCGCGCGTATAATTATATAATTATATAAATATTAAATAAATTTCCATTGTATATCAAAGGTATATACCTACCATCTCCCTTTTTCTTTCTCTCTTTCTTCATATTTTCTAGTGTTGTGCGGCTTTTTATAAATTAGACGATATATATCGCTATAAGAGAAAAAGTTTGTTTGCCGAGTAAATTGCGAATGAGTGAAAAATTGCGATTGTAACTTCACAGTTTAAATCTCAATCTTTGCTTTGTTATTTGATTACCGTCCTTGAAAGTTGGTCGGTTAAAGGTTTCTAAAAAATATTGACGAATTTATTCGCCAAGTTTATTCGCGAGATTTTCGCAAGAACAAAGTTCGTACGTAATTTTTAGGTAAAAATAACAAGACGGCTGATTCACGGCTGATTCGAGGAGGTAAACTTCGCATAATGGAGAACGGATCATCGAATCCGACGGTATCCGGTCGCCGACAATCGAACGACCGGCAGCAGCCGGTCTTCGACCGGCCGCCGTCGCGACGTCGTCGACGATCTCTCAGACTTCCCTTTGGCAAACATTTGAACGCGAGATGGCACGACGCCGGGGATGCTATTCTATCCTATTCACCTTTCGCCTGTTTCCACGAACGATGCGATATCATTCGCCGCCCGGCTCACGTCACGTCAATACTTTCTCGTTCGCGAGCATTCGCGTTTCCTGGTCCATTTACGTCTCATTACGCTACCCATTGACTCGTTAACTCGCACTCTCGGGCGTTAACTCGCCGCGCAACTTCGCCACATGGCGGGATAAAAATTGCATGAACGAACGAGATGTTAGTTGAGGCGAAGAAAACGAGTAGATAACGATGTATGACTAACGAGACATATATTAGCATTATTAGCATTTGGCAGCAACATTTTGGAAATTCTTTGGTTTCTTTTTTAACAGATCGCACTGTGATCTACGATTTATTACGACGCTAAATAATCTTTTGTTCATTTTTTCAAGTGAAACATAATTGCAATTAATCCCGCTATTTGTAAACTTTAATATTTTCTTGTAGAGAAATAGATTAAAAATGTTTATCATTGAAATTACAGAATTTCATATTGATAATAGAGAGCGTTTCTTTCTTTGTCTCGTACTGTACGATTATGTTTGAGAGGAACGCTTCATTTAACTTTCTATTCTTCCAAAGCGACATGCAGCGCACAATGCATCCTGTTGCATTCCTCTCGCGTTGCGCACAGAATTGTTATTTGCGTACATTGTTTAGGATAGGGAACAAGCACTAATTGAGGGTGATCGAAAAGCATTCAGGTAATTGTATAAACGGATAACACTATTGCACAAAAACATCAAGTTTATTAACGTTGGAGTGCTTTTGCAGTCGATGTTTATTGAAACAAATACAATATTAAAGATTTCTTTTTTTTTTTCGGAATTATGTCGGAAATTATTCGCGCGAAACCGGTGATTACAATGCGCGGTATTTTATATTTTACATTGTAAGAGCAATAACATATTACAATATTTGTGGCGTGTGGCGGTGTTTTTATCTCGTATCTCGACAGTATTTTAATATTTTAGAGGGATGATTAAAATTCTCGTGTACTATGCAAATGCGTCAGATGAGTTGTCCCGCAAAAGAAATATTGTTCTAAACTTATCTAATAATTACGTTAATTATTTTTGCTGTCTTAGCAACACGGATTTCAGACATTTTTGTCTTGTTAAATGCATCTATATCACGAATAATTTTATTCATTTAATAAATAGTAATATAATCCTCCTAATTGTTAATTTAAGATAGCGGTTATATCCAAATAATTCTACTTCTAGTATACTTCGTTATTCTTGATATTTTGCCTTGCGATGTTAAAGAGGGAAGTAAGTAGCTTTGAGAATGTTGGCCTGCAATCGTGAGGCTTCGTGTTACGTCTGTCATTATACGAGAGTTAACGCCCAGCGCGCATTCTTGTGCGATGACATATCGCCTCAATAGCCGTGATTACCGTCCTTGTAATCACCTTTTCTGCCCTGTTGCATTTCAATCGCATGCACACGCGAATAACATCGGAGAAATTCTTCGATTTCCAATTTGCGAGAGCTGTGCCCACGCTAATCGACTCCCTCAGTGCTCCTCTCGCGTCCGCTCTCACACCGAACCAATAATAATCGGAGATCGTGAGCGAAGATCGACAGTACGAACGGTGCAACATATCTCGTTCGCAGGATTTCCCCTTTCCCTTTCTGCGTTTAATATTCGCGATACACTTTAATCGTTCATCAGCCGCCCGAAACCGGTCGGCCCAATAAAACGAACGGGACCAGGAACGGATGACGCCGTCTCGGAGCATGAAGCTAATAATTTTTGAGATTCACGAAAACAACAAGAGCAAACACTGAAGAAACATATATATATATATATACACGCTAGTACACGAGTTATTCTCAATATATGTTATCATAACAAAATTGACAATTATTCTGAAGAACGTGGCTGCGTATATCAAATAAAAATTAATTGAGATTTTAATTAATTTCCACGCGTCTTCTTCGTCTACGAAAAAAAATAAGGTGAAGATTACTACGAACGATACGACGAAAAGAATTGGGAAGAATCACGTCTATTTACGTCAGTAAATTTACTTTGATTGATGTTCGTCGGAAGAACTTTCAACGCTATCGTTTCGCGTTTCCGGATTTTCGGAAGTCCATGACTGACGAGTTTCGTCAGTTTCCATGTAAAACATCCGCCCCTGGCCGTCGGAGATGGTGGAGGAAGAAGAGATGCGAGAATCCGAAGAAGAGCTGGGACAGACGGGTGGCGGCGCGTGAAAGGAAGCGGGTCTTCTTTCCCGACGGGATCCGCTGCAGCATCAGTGGAGTAGTGGGTGCTGTGATCGTCGAGGACCGGCTGTTGTCCCTTCCCCTCCTCCTCCTCCTCCTCACCCCCCGGACGGAACCCATCGCCCCACCAGCCTCATCTCATCCACCCTTGCTCCAAAATGCCCCTTACGCAAACCTCCCCGCCGCCGAAGGATCTCCCTTGCCCCACTCTCGCTTACCTTCCCCACTCCTTCACATCCACCGTCCTCCACAGTGTCGGGAATCATCGGTTGCCCCTCTGTCCTCAGTCTGTCACCGATCGCGCAAGCGTGCGGTTCTTCCAAGGGAAGTGTGACCAGCAGGATTCGGTCTCGCGTTTGTGTCGACGCTCCACGAGAAACGTCGTGTCGCGTGGATCTTCGCGAGGTCGATGTATGCCGATCGCGATCCGATTCGTGGCGTGGCAAGAACTGTGATCCCGGACGTTGAATTACTCTCGTCAGCCGTCGTGCGGTCAGATGATAAATTGCGCGGCCGTAAAAGGGAAATTGCCGAGGATCGCGTGAACCGGTCGCGTGTACCCGACCACCGACCACCCCGCCGTGTGGTCGCCTGAAATTTTCTCGGAACACATTTTCGTAATCCGCGCGTCTCCGTTGACACCCGTGTGCACGACAGGACGTCGATCGACCACGTCGCCTCTCCTTCGACGAAGTGACGTGACCGAGAGGCTTCCGGTTGCTGCGAGCGAGCGCGAGAGTTGCTTCCCCGACGTTGCTGGACATCGTCGACGTGGATCGTCGGTGGCCGATCGTTTATCGATCGATCGAAAACCCGCGATTCCTCACGCGGCGGAACGAATCGGACGGACCCTCGTCACCTACGGGAAGATCCGGCTCCGAAATTTTCAGAGCAACCCAACTGTGTCCCACGCTGTGCCCCGCTTTCAATTGGTCACGGCCTGTCCCGCACCGAGTCACAAGACCGAATGGATTATTATTATTAATCTCCGTCGTGACGAGAGAAAGAGCCGCACGGCTGCCCGCAGTTACTCATAACGCGTAACAAAGTGGCGAACGTGAATACTCAAGAATTACGTAGTAGACGCGCGATTTTCTAGCAGGGTGCACAGTCTCTCGTCGTGTTCGTGAAGGGCGCATTCTGATTCCTCGAGGTGCGCGCTGTGAACCCCGACGAAGGAAAACGAAAGTGAATCGCGCCCGGAGTGCCTTGTGAAATTTCGTGCATCGCCAAGTGTAGTGAATGAATGCGGTGGATACCGGTGCCGATTGAAAAGATCGCGCGTCCGCAAAGGGAGGAACGCCGGCGATGCCCGGGGAGATCCTGGTTTACGGCGAACGACTGTCAGGCTGTGCGACTCCAAGAACAACAAGCGTACTTTCTTCTTACCCTCGCGTGTAGCGTGGTGTAAACGGGAGACAGGTGCCGAGAATTTCTCCTGCTCGCGGGGTTACCCCCCTCTCTCTCTCTCTCTCTCTCTCCTCTCTCTCTCTCTCTCTCTCTCTCTCTCTCTCTCTCTCTCTCTCTCTCTCTCTCTCTTTCTCTCCCTTTGTCTTTTTTATTCCTCCTCGCCTCGTCATATTTCAACGACTTCGTACGCCCGCGACGAGGTTTAATTTGGGATACCGTGGGGGTTTCGCGCGCTTTGTCGTACGCGGGCGCGCGCCATCCATCGACGTCGTGGATCTCTCCCCTTTGAAGTCCAAACCGGAAGGATCGTTTATACGAAGGCGAATATACACGCTTCTCTCGGTCTCTCTCTTCCCCGAGTGACTCGAGACGACGACGACGACGACGACGACGACGACGTATGCGCGTGTGATCGCGCCCCGCGATCGTTTACCCGGCGCTCTCGACGTGCAGTGTAGATCGCGACGAGGTCGCGGGTCGTCGCCCACGTCTCCGTTTCGCTCTCGTCGATGACAAAGAGAGGCGAACCCACTCCTCCATGTGCGACCCCACCGCGTTACTGGATCTAGTGCCGGGCGAGGGATTACTCAAGAGGCCGTCCATGGATTACAACGAGTACACATATTGCTACGGCGGTGGTCGAGGTGGGTGGCATTTCTTTCCCCGGTGTTCCTTCTTGGTGCGCGGCCATCGGGAACCAGCTCGCGCCCGCCGCGGAACGAACGTGATTTTCTATCGTTCGAGTCTCAATCGCACGATCCGATGCATTCCTTACACGGTCGTCGAAACCGGCTCAAATAAAGCCGGCTCGAAGAAATGTTGGTAGGGAGATGTTAAAAAAATCCACAAGTTTACGACGTCGTCGAGAATTAAGATCGTCGTTTAACTGTGTGTTAATTATCAACTGGTGAAATTAATCGCATTAAATCCGTTTTTTTACATCTCACATTATCCGTCATATTACAATTATGTACCTTAATTAAAATAATGATTCGAGATTATAACGAATATTATTGATAATTAGAAATATATTTATCATATGAATTATTGATAGTGTTTCGGTATTTGGATATTGGAGAATTAGTGTATAAATGTAATATTAGTGTATAAATGCCTGGCCGCTGGTTTACTTCTCGTTAGATCCTACAGAATTAAATGCGGATGATCCTGACACGTGTAACGACGATATCGTTTCTGTTCCGTGCAAAATTTAAAAATGAAAGGCAGCTCTTCCATGAATATATAGGGGAGAATATAGCCAATCAATCAAAGAGAATCGGAGTGTAGTTAAATATTTAACAATGCGAAATGGAGTGGCGTTGATAGAGTGCTATTCCCGATAACTCAGTTTCTCCATAGGAAAACACAGTGACTAATATTTTTATTAAAATTGACGTTTATTTATTTTTATTTGTGCCACGTCATCCCGTGTTATTCCAAATTACGCCGCATTGTTTAACGTTGACGGCAATTTAAAAGATTTACGCGAGTACAACGGCGTCTACGGAAACAAACAGCTCGAATCTTATGGGAATGTTATCCTGCGATGATTTTCAATGAAAAAAAAAAAAAAAAAAAAAGGCAAGTACTTCAATGCCAGATAGCACTTCGGTTCTCGGCAAATAATAATTAAGAATCCTTGAGCCACGCGATCCACCTACTTCTGCCTGTCGTGATAAAGCTTCTATTTTCGGCGCGAATCGATTGTCCCGAGGCAACGCTGCCCCGCGGCGATGGAAAAAAGCAGCAAGACGAAAACATCCCCCGCAGAGATGGAGCAGAGGGGTGTCACGCGACTGCATTATCACGCGGGCCCTATTTGTCAAGTCGACATATCCAAGGCGTGACTCGGAGAAATTTTTTCGCGTGTAAAACTGCTTGTAGTGTATGTAAATGAAATTTTCCATTATGTGCCTCTTAACTATTCGACGGTGAAAGTCCCGCGTTTTAATGGAAAAGGGTGAATGTAGACAGTCTCCTATACGGTATCGCATAACCATCATCGAATCTACTCGTCATCGTCACGTATTCACCACGCGATGCGAAAGAAGATTGATCGGTGAATCACGTTGATAATAATTTCCAACATTTATCTATCGTTGTGTGAGATTGCGCCTAACGTCGCAATCTAAATACGTTCGCATCTACGATATAAAAACGCAAAAATTTAATGTCATTTACATTATGCGTTAAAATGTTTGCGCACAACTCATCAAGATTTTTTATGATATTACGTCTTAGGACGTGGGAAAATTTCAGGTATCATACGTTGTCGGAAACAGAAACTTGTTTCATTTTGCCGAAGCACGATGCAGTCGTTGAGTGAAATTCCGTTTTAAACTCTATTACGCAAGCACGACATTTCCATTAAGATTTTCCGACGAAGTGAACGGAAAAACGGGTATAATTATCGTTGCTGAAAAACGAGGCGTAACAGCGCGACGTTGCTTCTTGCTACCGTCCCGTTACTCGATACTTTGAATTTCTCCATGTGCAAAATAATCTTCCTTCGACACTGTCAAATCAGAGACCGTTCAAAGTGACAGACGTATGTTTCCATGACTGGGATTGACACCGATAATAACAATTCTAATAAACGATGCTTTATTTCTGAATTTCGAGAATTAATACAGTTAATACAGTTATTTATGAACTGCATATTTTAATAGCATATTTTAATAGCATACTTTAAAATAGTCGCAAGAGTGTATAAAAAAAGTTTTGCTTTCAACAGCTTATAGGAAATATAGAGAGCTTAAAAAATGGATATATTTATTGGTGACAATAAACACGATGGCGAGACTTCGTTTAGTTGAGCTTTATTAATTTCCATGCCATACTTGGCCGAATGAAAGTTTGATAGACTGAAAGTGGCGAATTCGCACAGACTCCGACCGCGGCGTCTCTATTTCTCACGATGGAAAGCTGCCATTCCGCGAAGATCCGCCGCGAAC